CAGGTTCCACCCCTTTCCTCTTCCCCATCTAAGTTATTGTTGTCACAACTTATTCCGTTCTGTGTTGTGAGTTTGTGATTAAAATGAAGTGATTATAGTTATTTTTGATGCTTTTCTTCCCTTTATCTTTAATGTTATAATTATTTGCTAACTTGTTCTGATAGAGAGCTGCAGTTTTCTGATTTTGTCTGTCTGTTTATCTCCCTGCTCAAGGCTTTGTAAACCTTTTTTTTTTTTTTTTTCAGGTATGAGGGCCTTCTTGATCATTTCTTGTAGCGAGGGGGGGTGGGTCTTGTGGCGATGAACTCCCTCAGCTTTTGTTTATCTGGGAAAGTTTTTATTTCCCCATTGTATTTGAAGGGTAGTTTCACTGGATAGAGTATTCTTGGCTGAAAGTTTTTGTCTTTCAGAATTTTGAATATATCATTCCACTCTCTCCTAGTCTGTAAGGGTTCTACTGAGAAATCCAATGAAAGCCTGACAGGGGTTCCTTTGTAGGTTATTTTCTTCTGCTTTGATGCCCTTGATTGTTTTTTCTTTGTCATTGATTTTTGCCAGTTTTACTAATGTATGTCTTGGAGAAGGTCTTTTTGCATTGATGTAATTAGGAGTTCTATTGGCTTCATTTACTTGTGATTACAGCTCCTTCCCCAGGTTTGGGAAGTTCTCAGCTATTATTTCTTTGAACAAGGTCTCTGCTCCTTTCTTCAGGAAGAACGTATTTTCCCTCTGGAATACCTATAATTCTTTTGTTGCATTTCCTAATTGAGTCGTATAGTTCTCAGAGAATTTCTTTATTTCTTTTTAGTCTTAGTTCTCTCTCCTCCTCCATCTACAGAGTTTCTATATTTCTGTCCTCTAAATTACTGATTCTGCCCTCCATAATATCAGCTCTATTTTTTAAGGACTCCAGATTTTCCTTTATCTCATTCATTGTCTTTTTCATCTCCAACATTTCTGATTTTTTTTATAGTTTCAATCTCTTTTGTGAAGAATTCTCTCTGTTCATTAATTTTATTCCTGAGGTCGTTAAACTGTCTTTCTGAGTTTTCTTATAACTCGTTGAGTTTCTTTATGATAACTGTTTTGAATTCACTGTGATTTAGATTGTAAATTTCTCAGGATTGATTTCTGGGTACTTGTCATTTTCCTTCTGGTCCCGAGTATCAGTATACCTCTTCATTTTTTTTGCTGGGGTGGATTTGTGCCATCACATAGTGGTAGTATCTGGTCACAGATTCCACCTGCCACCACTAGGGGTTGTGGGGGCAGGAGCTATGTCTTCTGAGCCTTTGTGACCCCTGTGCTGGCAGGGCCCATCTGTGTTTGCCCACTGGACACTTCCGCTTTACGCGTGTATGTGCAGGCACTCTGGCGGGGATCCCCTGTTCTGGCCAACCAGTCAAGCTGGTGCTCCAGATGGGGAGGGCAGGGGGGGCGAGCAGGGGCGCTTTCTTTCGCGTGCACAATCTTGCATGCCCTTCCTCTGCACTCACTCTCTGCCAGCTTGGGCTGATCAGCTTGGTGTAGATACCCCCACAATTGCTTAGCTGCCTCAGTGTGGAGTGTTCCCACAGACTGGGAGGCAACTCAGTGAGCACAAATGTTCCCACAGAGGGCTGCCTTTTTCCCTTTCTGTCAGTGTCACCCGCTGGCCGCTGCACAAAGTCCCGTGCCCTAGATCGCCGCCACTCAGGGAGGGAGAGGAGATCTCCTTACCTCCTTCCACTGCTTCCCTGGGGGTCCAGCACCCGCACCTTCAGATGTATGGCTGTGTAGATCTCTTAGACATCTATTGTGTTGTGTGAATGTCCTCTTTTGGTTTATGAATGTCCTTTTCGTTGTATCTTTGAGGGGAGAGACTAAGGGAAGAGCTCACTCCACCATGATATTGATGTCACTATCGTGTACCTTTTTTTAAAAAACAAGTTAATTTTCCAAATTCTATCCTGATTGAAGTGGAGTCCTTTTATTTTTCATGTAACTTATATCCAAGCCTATTTTTCTTATAAGAGGTGCTCACTGATTTTGTTTTTCTCGTCATTGAGGATGGGCTAATGGCAGCTTACTACAATCACAGCTTGTTTATTACTCTGATATCGTTGTAGACTTTGCTTTAAAATAACCCATATTGCAGAAGATAGAAGTAGAATGTTATCTCTGAAAGGGCTTTAGTGCATAAACTGTGAGCTCCAGCCTGCCAGACTTTTTGCCACTCTTATTCAGATCATTGAGTGGCCTTAAATTAGCTAAAGACCAGTCAGGACTCAACGAGAAAATGCAGGTGAGAGTTTTAACAAGATCCCAGACCATAGTAAGCACTGACAGATGTCAGTTATTGCTATTATTGCCTGTAAGATGGGTATGATTATGTTCCTCCACCTACCTCAGAGGCATCAATTGAAGACCAAAGAGTCTGTGTGCATATGAAAGACTGTGTGCAATATTTTAACGTGCACAGAGGACACTGTCAGTAGGGGTCATTGACAGGGGGACAATAAGGAAATAAATCCTACTCCTCCCTGCATGGTGTGTCTTTGAACATTATAAAGACTCACCTGGCTGATATTCATCTCCTATGAGCTTTTATAGAGGCCTGGGAGGGAGAGGACCTGCTGCCGTGAATCTCCCGTCTGATTTTGTGACAGCCACAGAAGGCTCCGTTTTCCAGGAGGGGAAGCTGCTGCTCGGGGAGGGGCAGCAACTCACTGGCCCAGGTCACACCTTGTCTGGCCTCAAGTCCAGGGCTTTTTCATGCTGCCTCCCTAGGGGAAGAAGTGTGAGGAAAAACTGGCATTGATCCTCAACTCCAGAGAGAAAACAGAGAAAGGAGTCTAGAGAAGATAGGAGAACAAATACAGGATATTTCTCTTTTAAAAATAAAACAGTATCATAGAAGAAATTTGGTCTTATAAAAGTGGAGGATAAAGTCGTGTTGAAGTTGAAAAGTAGCAATAAAGAATCTGAAGGTTCAAGACACAGAGCTAATCTGTGATCTGGACCAAGGTAGGAGGGGCAAGGGGAAAGAACATGTCCTTTCAGAAATTCTGAGAAACTCCAGTGGATAAGATTCAATGAAAACTCAGTAAAATACCCTCGGACCCACAGTTGTTAGGTAACAAACTTAGTTTTCACTTTCACTTTCCTTCTTCCAGCTTTTGATGAGAGATTTGAGAGAACAGTGAACAGATCATTCTAATAAATACTCAAGGATGTAGGGCTCTCGAATGCTGATGTGATGTCTGAGGCCTAAGTGATGGTCCCACTTTGCTGACCACTAGCTGGATGACCTTGACAACCCCCTGCCTCTCTATGCACCTCAGTTTCCATATCCACAAAATGAGGGGATAAGACTCTATTCACTCATTCATATAGCAATTTTTTTTTAACCTAAACCTAATTGCCCCAACTAGAACCTCTCATAGAATATTTAGTAGAAGTGGCAAGAGTGGATGTATTTGCTTTGTTCCTGATCTTAGGGGGAAAGCATTCAGTCTTTTATCATTACATATGATATTAGCTGTGGGTTTTCCATAGATGCCCTTTTCAGGTAGAGTTAGTTCCCTTGTAATCCTTATGTAGCATTTTTATCCTAACAGGGAGTTGGATTTTGTCACAATTTTTTTCTGCATCAATTGAGTTGATCAAATGGTTTTTGTACTTTTTTCTGTTAATATGATGTATTATATTAATTGGTTTTTGGGTGTTAAACCAACCTTGCATTCCTGGGATCAATCACACGAGGTGGTGGTATATAATCCTATTTATGGATTACTGGATTTGGTTTGCTATTTTGTTAAGGATTTTGGCATCTGTATTCCTAAGGGATATTGGTCTGTAGTTTATAAAAAATATTTATTGAGCAACTGATGTGCCAGGCATTGTTCTAGGTATTAGGGATTCAGTGATTTTTCAGAACAGATAAAAAATCTCTTCTCTCATGGAGCTTACATTCGGGTGGATGATTAGCAAGGCTGCTCCGCAATCGCATTTGGAGTTTTTTTCTCTGTTCTGTCAACGATGCCCTGTGTTCCAGCCTTAGCGCCTACGTGCCGGACTTTTGGTAATCTGGATGGTCCATGTCTGGAGCTTGGAAAAGGCCTGCTTTCTTTTTTAAATTGCTCTTCCTTTTTTTTTCCCGTTTAATGTAAATGTTAATTGAATGATAACATCCACATAGAAAAGTGCACACACTTAACAAATTATCACTAACTGACATACCCATGTCACCAGCACCAATATCAGGAAACAAAATAGGACCAGCATCTGAGAAAGTCCTTGTGTCCCTTCCAGTCCCTAACTCTCCCACCAACAGAGAAAACCTTTGACTTCTAATAGCAGGTATTAGTTTTTTTGTATGTGGGCTCTTTCTCTCAGCATTATATGTGTGAGATTCGTTTGTGTGGCTTCGTATTGTCATGGTTTATTCATTCTCATTGTTACCTAGTATTGCATTATATGAACGTTCAGTAACATCCATTCTACTGTAAATGGACAATTGGATTATTTCCTTTTGGGGGCTATTACTAAACAGTCCTGCTGTGCACATGTGTGGATCTGTCTTTTGGTAAACATCTTTGCTCTACTTTGCGGTATATACCCAGGAGTGGAATTGTTCTGTCGTAGGATATGTTTAAGTTCAGTTTTAGTAGATGCTGCCCATTTTCTGTGCTGGATCTACAAAATAGGCTCCCACTAGCAATGTATGATAATTGCAGGTGCTGCACGTGGTTACCAGTACATTGTGGCCCTTCTGGTGAGTGCATACCGTATCACATTGTGATTTTAATTTGCATTTCTCTGACATCTAATGAAATTAAGTGGGAGATCCTGTTCCATTTAACTGTGACAATTAAACAGAGCCATCTGTTCACCGCATGTCTTATCTTCACAGATATTGCAGCTTTCTTGGGCACCCCTTTCATGCTAGTAATAAAATCAAGAGGCCATTACTGTCCAAATGTCCTCCACAGCCCCTGACTGGCTTTCTATTTCCCCAGTATGAAGAAGAAAAATGGCTCAGGGAGACCAATCAAGACCACCCGGGACCGAGTGCCTACGTATCAATATAACATGAATTTTGAGAAGGTGGGCAAATGCATCATCATAAACAACAAGAACTTCGACATAGTGACAAGTAAGTGTTGTGGGCATGGCCTAACCTGTCCTGTTCCCTTCCAGTTTCTTCAACTCGGGTTAAGACTTGTTAGCAGACGTTCATCAGAAAAACGCTGTGCCCATCTGCTGTGGCAGACAGCCCCTCCAAAGATGGTATCTGCACATCCATGAGAGAGGGATGCAGGAAAATCGGGAACTCTCAGTCTGAGGTCCTGCCATGTGCATTAGCTGACGTGGGGCTTGGACCAAAGGGCTAAGAATCAAGGGGAGCTGTTTGACCTTGACTGGAGCTGAGAGTTACCATGATGAGGCTCACCTTTTGTGGGCAGGCTGAGTTACCCTCTCCTTTGATTTTGCTTCTTATTTCAATTGCTCATTTAATCGTGACCTTGGCAGCGTTGTTCACACCTGAGCACCTGGCCTGATGATGCCGGCATGCGGTGCTCAGCTAGGGATTGCTCATCATGGACTCGATGCTTGATTCACACAGGAATGGGCACGCGAAATGGGACAGACAAAGACGCTGAGGCCCTTTTCAAGTGCTTCCGAAACCTGGGTTTCGATGTGGTCATCTATAATGACTGCTCTTGTACCAAGATGAAAAATCTGCTGAAACAAGGTACATGCCTACCCTTCCTCCCTCTGTCTTCTTCCTGCTCCCGAGAGGGGCAGGGCCCCAGCCGGTCTCAGGAGGACACCTTCACAGGGCAGAGGGATTTCAGCATGGGAAGCCTTTCTTTCCTCCTGGCTACTCCATACCTGTCTCTGGGGTAGGCAGGCCTCTTTCAGGAAACTTAGATCTCTCCCTAAAAAGGTGCAAGCGGCTTACATTACAGCAAGAGAAATAGGTTGTGTATCTACAGAACGGTCTCAATTTGAAAAAGGTAATTCCTCAGGATGTAACTTTTCCCTGGTAGCAGATAGAGAACAGTCATCCCCATGTACTTCAGAACGACCTTATTTTTTATACAGCACATACACAAAATTATTTCATTAGATCTTTACCACAACCCCTGCAGTGTTGGCCAACAGAATATTATCATGCCCATTTTATGAATGTAGGGACAGAGCTGTAGACAGAGTAAGGGACATACTGAAGGGACAGTTAGTGGGGGCAGAACCAAACTCAAGCCTTGGTCTTCCGACTCCAGAACAACCGTGTTCTGTATTATACCACACTATCTAGTGGATGCCACCTAGGGTTGTCTGGCATTTAGGGCAAGTGTTTGAAAGTGATACCCCACTAACTCATTAGACAGTGACCCCCAGGCAGTGGACAGGCCCACAGTTCAAATCACTGCTGCTTTTCTTGGCAACACAGCTAAACACAAAGAAGATCCCACCCTGTCTTGTAACACCCTCTTAAATACCCTTTTATATTTTTAAAAACTAGGCATCTCTTCCTAATTTCTTGAAACGTGAATCTTAAAAGCTGACCTTCTGTGCCCTAGTAGAGCACATGGTAGAGCAGACTGGGAAACAGGAGTACAGTTTGGGGTCTAGTCCAGGTTCTGACAGCTGGGCGGCCTGGGCAAGTGCGCCTTCCTGATTCTTCACTTCCCAGAAATGCAGATCATGATACCAGCTCCTCCTGTATCTTGGGGTTGGAGTGAGGATTAGCGGAAAGTTTGTGATTGTGCTTTGAGAAGTGTAATGGCCTGTACAGATGTAAGGGCTTGTCCCAATGGCAGTTTCTGTTCTTAAGAAAAGTGAGTCATTCCATCCAAGCCTGGAGCATGTCACAATCACAGAATTCTCATTTATTGTGCTATCAAAATAGTAAAGCAGTTATTTTTCTTGACTGTACATGTAATAGGCTCCAGTGAGAGCAAAACTCCCATTTTCCAAGTCTATCTTAACCGATCTGATCTTAAGCTGAGCGGGAGAAAGAATCCCATCCCCTTGTACCTCTATTGTCAAAACTAATACAGAATCACTGTGTAGATCGATGCACAGATGTGGCCACAATGGGCATGGAAGAGGCTGCCCCTGGTCTGTCTGGAACTGACGAGGCTGCAGGGCTTTGCAGCGCCCTGGGCTAGAAGCATGGCTGTAAGGCTCCAACAGGTCATGCGACCTTTGGGCAAAGTTGTGGGACCTCTTCAAGATTCCATTTTTTATCAGTGACATAAAGATAAATGAGGCCTGCTTCAAGGGGCTCTTGTAGGGATTAAATGAAATAACTCACGCAAAGTACCTAGGTCACTGTCTGCACAAGGTAGGTATTCCAGAAATTCTAAATCTTGTTCTTCCCCCATCATTGATCATAGAGAAGAAAGCGTAGGTTAAATTAGTTAGCATCACAGAAGCTTAGATGAGTTCAGGCTGAGCTAACTGGTTACGTAGTTTACGATTCCTTCCTCTCATCAGTATCCTAAATTAACAGCCAACTAGCATTTTTAGTTTTTATTCTTTCCTTTTCTGTAATTTTATTTTTTTACTTTTTAAATTGTGGTAAAATACACATAATGTAAAATTGGCCATCTTAAACCATTTTTAAGTGTACAGTTGAGTGGCATTAAGTACGTTCAGATTATTGTGCAACCATCGCCACCGTCCATTGCCAGAATTCTTTCTATCTTGCAAAAGTGAAACTGTCTCTGTTAAACACAAACTCCCCATTTGCCCCTCCCCGAGCCCCTGAGAACCACCGTTCTGCTTTCTGCCTCTGTGAACTTGACTACTCTAGGTACCTCAAAAGTGGAATCATAAAGTATTTTTCCTTTAGTGACTGGCTTATTTCACTTATCATGATTTATTTTCTTTACCAAATACTTGCATGATATTTATTATGCAGCTTGCTTTACAAATATTCATTCATTTAATAGATACTATTATATCCATTTTACTGACAAGGAAACCAAGACACAAAATGGTTAAGTAACCAGTGCCCAGTGTCACAGACCTAACAGACAGTGGGGCCCCCTCTGGCACCCCAATATGCTGCCTCCCAGCAGCTGCCTGAACCCCTCTCACACGTGGGGCTCACTTCCTCATGAGGCAGCCCCATTCTGGTTTCAGACTGAGTGTTCTAGAATTCTCCGTCTCTCTAACTTCTCTCTTCTACAACTCCTTCTCTCCAAAGAGGTGCTCCTCCCTCTGAGTACCTCTCTCACTCAGTGGCAGCTGCCAGCCTGGAAGAGAATACTGCATCTGAGGTCCCAGAGGACTTATTTTTTAACTTGTCAATGTTCAAATCGCTTGCTTGCAGCTTCTGAAGAGGACCACAGAAATTCAGCCTGCTTCGCCTGTATCTTATTAAGCCACGGAGAAGAAAATTTCATTTATGGAACAGATGGCATGACACCAATAAAGGACTTGACAGGCCTTTTTAGGGGGGATAGATGTAAAACCCTTTTAGAGAAACCTAAACTCTTCTTCATTCAGGTAATCACTTTTCACAACCAATACAGTTGAAAATGGGAAAAGATTAGAGAGTTAGATTGTATCATTTTTACACATCTGTGTGCTGTTTCAATTGGGGTATGCAAATTTGGGTTTTGTTTTTCTACCTCTAAATGCTTGGCATCTGTGTTTGCATCAGATCACAAATTATGAGGGTTTCTTTAAAAAATTGCAGTACTTTTATTTGCTTTGCTTACTAATTTGACACATTCGTTCATCACATTATCATTGAGCTCCTAGTTTTTGCCAAGCACAGTTCTAGGCACTGGGACCCGGCAGTGAACAGCACGTGTTTCTATTCCCGACCTCATAGAGTGATCTCTGCTTTGACACTCAGGCTTGTCGGGGGACAGAGCTTGATGACGGGATCCAGGCCGACTCGGGGCCTATCAATGACACGGATGCTAATCCTCGATATAAGGTCCCAGTTGAAGCCGACTTTCTCTTCGCCTATTCCACAGTTCCAGGTATCAAGTCCGCTGACCGGACCATGCCATTCCACCATCAGAATGTAGGCCTGGGGCTGTATTAGTTTCATGATGCTGCGGTGATAAATTACAACATAGTGGCCTGAAACATACAAATGTATTATCCTACAGTTCTGGAGGTCGGAATTCCAAAATGGGTTGGCAGGGCTACATTCCTTCTGGAGGCTCTAGGGGGAACAGTCCTTGTCTTTGCTTTTTCCAGCGTGTTAGAACCTCCTGCCTTCCTTGGTTATGGCCCCTCCTCTGCCCTCAGAGACAGCAGCCCACGTTTCTCGGACCCTTCTTCCAACCTCTCTTCACTTTCTCTGACCACAGGTGGGAACAGTTCTCTTTTAAGGACTCCCGTGATTACATTGGGCCCGCCCAGATAATCCAGGATAATCTCCCCATCTCATTTCCATCACATTAATCACATCTGCAAAGTCCTTTTTGTCATGTCAGGTAACATATTCACAGGTTCCAGGGTTAGTGCACAGACATCTCTGGGAGCCATTATTCTGCCTACCTCAGGGATATATTCCCTTTTTTCTCCAAGAAAGCTGAATTCTCTCATTTATTGTTACTGTTATTTTTGGTAATTATAAGAACAAACGTTTCTACAGCACTTTAAAATTTACAGGGTGTTTTTCATGTCTTCCACCTCATATCATCCTTATAATAATCATGTAGGTATTTAGGAAAGGTGTTATTGCTGTCCTAATTTTACAGATGAAAAATAGAGGTTGGGTGAGCTTAAGTGATGTGCCCAAGGTCACATAGAGATTTCAGTACATGATAGAGCCATAGCTCAGGGCAGGATTCCTTTACTCTGCAATCTGTAAACAGGCACCAGAAAATGCCAGTAATGAGCAAGCCTACTCATTATTTACCAAGCTCTGCGTTTGCCTGAGTCAGTTCAGTGAAAGTCCTTCCTTTGTTCTGGGTAAAAAACATTAAGTTAGAATTCTCCCAGCTGTAGTAGTTTGTCAAGCGCTTGATACAAAGGCATTGGGTACAGTAAATAGGTTGGTGTGTTTGGATCCCAGCTCTGGCAGGATCTGCAGATGAGATTTTGTGAGAATGATAACTTCACAAGTTTTAAGGATCGTGTAAGAAAATAATTTGGTTGTCCTGCTCTTGAGGGGGAGGCGGTATGATGAGGCCATATATCTGTGTAAACAAACCCAGTGGTGGAGTTGTGGATGCTCTGAGCAAGGACTGGTGGAACTAAATGAGGAAGTGTGGACTCTTCTAGGGAGGCAGGTGAGAGAGGCTTTCCTAGAAAAGAGCTGCTGTCACTGAGTCTTGAAAAATCAAACAGGGGGAAGGGAAAGGTGGCTTACCAGACAGAGCGCCAAGGGGTCAGATAGCCCAAAGCACTGGTAAAACTCATAGAGCTGGAGCACAGGGTGTGTTAGTCTACTCTGGCTGTTGTAACAAAATACCACAGACTGGGCGGCTCAAACAACAGAAGTTTGTTTCTCACAGTTTCTGGGAGGTTCGAGATCAAGGTGCCAGCCAACTTGGTTTCTGATGAGGGCTTTCTTCCTGGCTTGTAGACAGCTGTCTTCTCACTGTGTCCTCACATGGCAGAGAGATTTGGAGATGCCATAGCATGGGGTGTGACAGGGCATTGGCAAGGTTCTGACCTGGGCAGGTAGGCAAGGGGCCCCATTGTGATGCTGTGCTAGGTGGCCTGAACTTCAGCCTCATAAAGGAGTGCGAGGGAAGTGGTTTAGGCAGGAAAGTCTCAGGATAAGATTTGTCTTTCAGAATGGTTACCTTGGAGCCCTGTAGGACAGGGGGTAGAGGACACGAACTCAGGGGCAGTAATGAAATGGGTCCATCCTCACCAGGTTATTGTATTGAATGAGATAAGTTATGTGACCCCCCACTCTACAAATGAAACACATTGTCATACCGCTGATGCCATAGAGCTCAAATCTTCCTGCTGGTAGTTGCCAGTACTCTGTGCTGCAGGAAAGAATTCTAAGTGCACCTCAGTCATTTTACAGAAATGTAAACGTGTTATTTCTGTTTATTGTACATTGATTCAATAACTGATTGTTACAAATGATAAAGGTGATGACCCCATTCTCCTCAAACTGGCGTGACCAATTGGCAGTAGGAGGAAGCACAGCTCATCACGAAAACCAAACACAATTTATTTTGTTTCACACTGTCCTTTTAAATCAGGGAGAATGAGAGTGGTGGAATCTTCCCTCGCCCCTGGATGAAAACTCCAGAAGGTGCATAGCTTTGCTGTTCATGCTAAGGTATTAGACGATATTGCGATCACCTTTTTAAGTCATAGACAGTCGCAGCACTGGAACCAGAATGTCCAGTCTGGGTGACGAAGACCCTGAACCTGACTTGGCTTTAAATTTCCCTCAATTCGAGATCAGCCCTGCTGTAGGCCTAAGGTGCTGAGGGGGCCTTGATCCTTCAGCTTTCTCACCTCCTCCTCCACTTACCAGATCTCTTTTTAGATTCTCCAGCATCAAAAATGAGAGGGAAGGAGGCGAATTAAGGATGATACCTGGGGCCCTTGCTCACCTGGCTTCTTGTGCTCTGGACCAGTGGGATGATTAAAACTGGGTGCTTTCCTCTTGAGCTCTTTCGTGAGTCCCTGGTTCCCTGGGCCCTGTTCCTCCTTGGCCCTTGGATTTGCATCTCCATTCCTGGTTATGTATTGTGAGTTCTTCCTCAACTCCTGGGCATCCTCCAGGCTGCATGTCCAGCCTCTGTCTGCTGAGGTCTTCTTGCCTCTTCGAGAAATCCTGTTGGAGAGGACCCAGGGCAAACTGAGAGCCAGCTTTCTCTGCCACAGACCATGTGTGGTCCACGAGAAACAAACCCCTTGCCGTTACAGTGCTGGCCCTCCCAGCGCAGCCGGCTCTCCTGACTCTGCCCCTAAGGTAGTTGATCATTCAGCCGCCTCTCACCTCTAGATTTCTTCAACAGGAGCCAGACTCTAGTTCCATGTCCACATCCCAACAGCAGGAACACATCTCAAAATTCTCTGAGGTCCCCTGCAAGTTCCCCTCTTGAGGCTTGCGTAAGTAAGTAGTACCCACCCCAAAGGGTGGTGAGGAGTTCCAGAGCTATGGAGTGGTTCTCCAGCATTGCCTTTGGAAAGCTCCCTGTGCGACTTGTCTCACACTCACTTCGGTATCTAATATGTATCCATGCTGGAGCACCAAAGGTTTTGTTGAGCGTCTTCATGCAGCCCTCTAAATCTAAGATGTTTGCTCTCTGAGCACAGCAGCATAATTCTCATTAGGGACTTGCATGCAGAGTAGGGTAAAATAATGTCAGAAAAGCAGGTATGAAAGCCCCAAACACTGAGAGCTCATTCTGGGTGGTGCGTGGAGCAGCAGCCAGGTTAGCTGATTTGATCTTCTTTCTCTCCTGTTGAAGGCTATTACTCGTGGAGGAACCCAGGAAGTGGCTCCTGGTTTGTGCAGGCCCTCTGCTCCATCCTGAACGAGCATGGGAAGAGCCTGGAGATCATGCAGATCCTCACCAGGGTGAACAACATGGTGGCCAGGCACTTTGAGTCTCAGTCCGATGACCCGCACTTCCACCAGAAGAAGCAGATCCCCTGTGTCGTCTCCATGCTCACCAAGGAGCTCTACTTCTCAAAATAACCATTCCAGGGGTGCATTCTAGCTGAGAAGCTCCAGATCATTTGTTGATGAATCAGATTGTTTTTTAAAGCTCTTGAAATATCCATAAATTCTAAAGGATTTTAATTTCAGGAAAATTTATTGATTCAACAGGAAAGAAACTTTCTGGTGCTGTCTTACCTTCTCTGAATTTTCAGAGGCACTTTTTTTTTTACAATATTATTCATTTGGTGACTTTGTAATTCCCTCTTAAGGTTAATTTTATGTTTGTATTTCTTTCTCCTTGTTGGACTTAGTACATACAACAGAAATAACCTCTACAGATGGCTCTAGACTGTATCCACTGTGATTGGTGCTGACGTTGCTAGACAGTCAGAATCATTTTTGCACCTGGCAACAGAGAGTCCCAGCCCTGGACAAAAAACAGCCAAGGGGATATTGGCCTGTATTGTAGAAAGTGGGTACTGAGTGTGGTTTGAGTGATTTTTCATTGACTTAGGGCAGATTCTCATGCAAAAATTCCCGGGTAAGTTAGAGGAGAAAAAAAATGTAATGATTCTCATATGTTTCAGTCAGAATCGAGTCGGGAAAACAGAAACCATTCTAAGTGTTTCAACAGAAGGAATTTAATAGAGAAAATTGACTGACTTAGATGATAAAAGAGAAGCCAAACAAAGGGAAGCTGTTACCGCCTAAGGCTCTGAAGAGGTGTAGTTCCCTGAGTCCAGAAGCTGGGGTCGTCCACAGGAGCTGGAACCGTAGGGGGGACTGCCTGATGGGAGCCAGGACCACCAAGGGGTTGTGGAAAATGGAGCCATGGTAGGGACAAAGCCACTGCTGAGATGAGGCCATGCCAGATGTCAGACATGGAGAAATACCCTCGCTTCACCTCTCCTTCTGCCCTCGAGTTTTCCTCCAGCACCTTACCCTTCCAACCCTACCAGGAAGCCAATGGCAAGAGTCCTGGGAAAGGTGATTTCCTGCAGTACCGAGCAGAGCAAGGGATAGTGAGACAGGGGAAGAACAAGAAATGGATATAAGCCTGGCCCATAATGTGAATACAAGTAATCGTATTCCCTGATGTTCAGTAATTCTTCCATCCAATCATTTATTCATTGAGTTGTCAGATAGTCTGTGTATTGCGGCTATGTGAAAAATAATCTGTTTTAGCTTTAAAATATACCTGGAACTTTTTAGATTATCCAAAGCCTTATTCTGAGTATATTTTTTATTACCTCTAATTCTCTAAGCGGGGGAACATTTATAGCAAAGGCTTTTGCACTTTGTTTTTCAAGGTGATGTTATTTTTTGAATTCTTGATAAATTACTGTTTTATTCTGCCTGATAACTGCTTAACAAACATTTATATTTATTGATTAAAATGTGGTTGCTTAATTCCTAACCTGCTCAGTTTGCTTTTCTTTTGAAGTGTTTTATGGCAGTGGGGAAATGAGAAAACAGGAGAAGAATTGACCCTACTGACTTGACGTCAACACAAAGTATAACTCATGTTTCTTTTGAAGCTGGAACACAAATAAAATAATAAGTAAATAATCCCTTAGGAAGCTGAAACTCTTCACATAAAGGGTTAATCAACTGATTAAAGCTGTTTGTGATGGGCTGCCATTTATTAATTTGGTAACAGAATCAGATGGTGTAAAAGTATCGTCTTTCAGTGAGAAAATTAATTTAGGGCCAGTTTACTAGACTTGTTCCTGGTTTCCTGCCATCTAAAATATACCAAATGTTCAAAATTTAAGTGGAGATCATGAATCAAGAATCAACAAACATCTACCCTACTATTCCCAGAATTCGCAGGCTGTTCTTTGGAAAATTAAAGGTCCCTATCATAGAAATAAATGTGCCTACATGCATTGTAATTTGAAGTAAAAATCATAGCACTCTAGTTGTTTGTGTCGTAAACTTCATTAAAGAGAGAGAAATGATCCTGTGTCAGGGTTAATTTTTTTAATTCTGTGAGCAGTTATAGGTATTACGCTTACAAATAGTGAATGTTACCTCACGTCCCTTAGACCAGAGAGAGAAATCACTGTTCAGAAAGAGCCTTCGTCTTTGACTACTTCATTGGGCGCACACTCTTCTTTATCAATTTCAGAAATCCTGTTCCAAGTTGGGTATGTGTTCAGTCACACCTCTATTCTTAAGCTGTCTGATCTTTTTAAAGTCGGGAATTCCAATGATGTTACCCTAAAGGAGAACTCAATTCAGGTGAATATACATTCCTAGTTGTCATTGTTATTTAGAACCCAAGCTGCCCCTTGCAGGAGTAACAGTCAGAGCACTGCCATTGTCATGTGAGGAAGACAGTGCAGGTCTGTGGTGTCCTCACTGGCATAATGGGCTCAAATCTGGGTTTCTCTTTGTTTTTTCTCAGGGTGCCACTAGCCTGTTTTAAGTGTTAGCTGTTAATACATTCACAGTCAGCTTTAGGCTCGACCCTGAGCTTTTTCTCTGAGCAAATTTCCATAAACCATCGTAAGCCTATTATGTTTATGAATTGCTCGAAATAGGTCTCAAAAGAAAGTAGTGGGTTCACTGTATTCACGTGGTTTAAAACCTCAAGGAAACCAAGGCCTCTCCCCAGAAAGGAAAGGATGGCCACTGAAAGGGCATAGATGCTGGTTGAGAAATCCTTTATTTTGTCCAGTCTTGCAGCGCATCATCTGAAATCTATTGTTACGAGCTACCTGGTAACCAAGGAATGCCTTTTGACTTCCTAGGAGCACACCCTTCCGTCTAGCTTTTCATCTTTCAGGCCCTTTTCCAGCAAACATCTGGCCAGGTGAACAGCTGCGCTGGTCACCAGTTTATAGGGCAATTCATCTGTCATTAGGCAAGGAGACAACAGCAGTAGCCCAGATATCACTAATTTCTGAAGGAATGTCATCCTTAAGAGTTCTTCAAAGATATGCAGATCAAGACGTTCTTCTACACTGTTTGCCTTGTGAATAGTTCAGTATCATGCAACACCAAGACCAAGTGTGTGCACAGTGACATCCCCATCCCTTGGGAGCTTGTCAGAAATGCAGAATGTCAGGCTCCACCCCAGACCTCCTCACCAGAATCTGCATTTTAACCAGATCCCCAGGGGATCTTTGTGCACATTTCAGTTTGAGCAGCTCAGTTTTGAGGGCAAAGACCACTTGTTTACACATTTTTGCTTCCCCTCTGCACTGAAGATGCAGCTGATAATATAGTATATGCCAAAGAGAATTAGTGAAGCAGCATATATATTTTGGAGCTTTCATGGAAGACATGTTTTTAAGCATCTCTCAACTTTCAGCAAAATCCTCTCGTAAAACTACATCATGCCCTTAATTTACATGGTATAATTTCTACACTCTTCTCCATTTTAAATGAGCCTTCTGCTGAGTGATATAATAAATAGAATTGTTTATGTTCTCAAAGTGTCTGTGAATGTGAATTGCAGCCTTTAAAATGTCTTCATAAACAGAAGGGGATTAAGGGAGCCATTCCTTGCGTGTTTTCGTTGGCGACAGGAGCTGTTGTCCATTGAAACCACGGAGCTTGTCTCTTCCCATCTGTCCTTGGAGCCCCGTGGACACCAAGAGAATTATTATTTCTCCCTGCCAATGTGCCCTCAGGCCATAGATCATCCTTTTGATAGACCTCAGGGCTTTGTTTTGGATCAGATGGCAACTAATTCTTTTTGATTCATAAATCATTAACACAGACATACCAAGAATACATTCGGAAGGCCCCAGCTACCACCACAGTACTGATGTGGCCCTGGAAACTCCATTAGCTTGCAGGTTCATGCGTGAATAGCCCTCCAAAAGTACGCGATCAACATTTGAAAACACAAAAGCCAAATATGACTTGGCTTTGGCATGGCTTTGGTTTATATGGCCATACAAATATTTATGACACTACAACTTTCTAACAAATTTGTTTTAAGCGTATAAAGCCAAACTATGCCGAAGGATTTAAATTTGGGAGGCACATGGGATTATGGCTGCAGATATACAAGGCTGAGCATTTCTTGAGCTTCAATGGTCTGATCTAGGTAGATGGCATGAGGTTCAGGAAGGACTCAGGAAAGAGAGGAAAGTGTGAACAGTCTGATCGGTTTGGTTTAAAGATTTTATTTTATTTATTTATTTTTTCCCCCCAAAGCCCCAGCAGATAGTTGTATGTCATAGTTGCACATCCTTCTAGTTGCTGTATGCGGGACGCGGCCTCAGCATGGCCGGAGAAGCAGCGCGTCGGTGTGAGCCCGGGATCCGAACCCGGGTCGCCAGCAGTGGAGCGCGCTCACTTAACCACCAAGCCACGGGGCCGGCCCTGATCGGTTTGGTTTAAACTGCTAGTTCCAGCTTAAGCTATTTAAGGCGTATCTCAATGAGCACAGCATCAAACTGTTTTCTCAGGATCCACGGTTAGCAGAGGTGCTTTACACCATACGTATCTAGAAATTTGGCTCTGAGTCTGATCTGAGTTCTAATCCCAGCCCTGCCATTTAACCATTTAATACTTCATGTAACCTTAGGCAATCCTTCAGTTTCCTCACCTACACGTGAGGATAGTAATGTTGTGAAGATTAAATGAAATGTATGCCAAGCTCTTAGCACAATGCCTGGCACAAAACACTCAATAAAAGATAGGTATCAAAGATGATGATGATATGATGGTGATGATGATGATGGTGGTGGTGGTGGTGATGATGATGATGAGGAGGAGGAGGAGGAGGAGGAGGAGGATGTGAAGCTTATGGAAAGGCAAGAATAGATGCTCCACTGGACCCTCCACTCACTCTTTCTGCCTCAAGGTCTATTCCCTTGATCATGTCTCTAGTCCGTGCTTTTCCAAGTGAGGTCTCTCAGAAGTGCAGGAGTTACACCAAAGATTGATTTACGCAGCAAACATTTAAAGAGTCCTACTAAATGCCAAGTGCTGTGTTGTGTTAGGGGTGGGGCTACAAAGATGACCAAGAAATGATGCTTTCCCAGAAGAGGTAAACAAATCACTCCAGTGAAATAGCGGCTATAACAGTTGTGCCTACATTACTCTGGAATACAGATGAGGGGGTGCCCCTCTGCT